CTTTCCCTCATTGGTGTGAGCCTCACAGCCCCACAGTTCGCCACTTGTACCAGATCAACCCAAAGTACTAGACTGTCGGTGAGATTTCAGGAAAATCCAGACGCACGTTTGGATGTGTAAATCTGGCACTAAATGGGGCAGTGAGGACCCTACTGCTTATATGCAGCCACAGTGAACTGCAAAGTCTTTGCCCAGGGAAGATTTGCACCCCTCCGTGAAAAGTAAATTTTCAGGTTCTTTTGCATTAGTTTAGGCTCAGGACACTGCTCGGCTTGGACAGCTAGGAGACTTACAGGAAAGAGCCTGACAGGTGTGCTCAGGTACCTCATTTCAACTACTTAAGACAAGTTCTTCTGGCATGGAAGATGGTGCAAATAATGGCTTAGGGCACTGTGCTTTTTGGAATAAGGTAACTACAATTTTACAGTGGGACTGCAGATATAGGGGGTTTCTCCTAGAGACTGCAGTAGAAAAGAAGGGAGAAGGCAGATGCTGAAGATAAACCAGGGCTGGGGCTGGTAGGGTGGAGCCTGCAATAGAGAAGGATGGAAGTGGGCGAAGCATGAGATGAGCAACAACTACATCAAGGGGAGGAAGGGAAGAAAAGGAAGGGAGGGGAGGGCTGGGAGCAGATGAGAAGCCATTAGTGAGAATGGGCTGGAAATCATGGGAAGGCAAGAATGTCCTGGCTAACAGATGACACTGAAAGAGCCTAGATGTTCAAACAGAAGGAGCTTAGCAAGAGAGACCTGAGAAAGAAAAGTGCTTGGGAAGACCCTAAGTAGTGACAGGGAGGCTTGAGCACCAGGTCTGCAAATTGAATGAAGAGGAGAAGGCAAGGAAACATGCTGGCCAGGTCCTGTTCCTGGAGGCTGAAATTACTGTGGATGACTATGGGAGACCGAGAGGAGGATCTGAGAGCCAGGAGGTGAAATCACAGAAGGCTCAATGGGGAGGAGCTGGATGGACAGGAGATAATGGCAATGGGGACGTGGAGGAGGAATCAAACGCAGGGCTGTTCAGAAGAGGACAAGGAGTGGGAAGGTCTAGACTGGAGAGCTCAGAAGTGTCAAGAACCCACTCCTTGCACATGTCCAGCCCAGTTCACAGGGGGAGAAAGTATCCACAAGCCATTCCCATCATCAGAGCCTTCACTTCAAACATGCCTTTGTGTAACAGAAGAATTGGGGTCGAGGGGGGAGGCATGGGCAAGGTGGAATCAAGCATTTCTCAATATACCTGAAAATCTACAGATTAGGATGTGAGCACATTGCTCTCCCTGACTAAAGGACCTCCCCTTCACGGTCACACCAGGCCGTTGCTTCTGACATTTCCAGAATCTTACTGGGGAGTGATGCTCCTCAAACGCAATAGTCTTTATCATCTCAATCAGTGGGACCTCTCCCGTACTCCCCTTCATTCCCCTTGCAAATAAATTTAGCACTGGAGAGTCTCCACCTTGCAGGAGGATGTGGATAGTTTGGAAATAGTTCAGCACAGAGCAACTCAAACGACTAGGGGCCTGGGAGGCAAGATGTATGAGGAAAGCCTGAAAGAATGAGGGCTATTTAGCTTGGATGAGAGAAGAGAAGACGGAGGAGGAAGTTCATAGAATAGCAGAGCTGGAGAGAAGCAGGGCTGAGAGGGACCTCCACAGCTCATCTATCCCAATGCCCTGGCTGAGGCAGGATCATCCTTCTCCAAACCAGCCTGTGCAAATCCACTGTTTAACCTCTTAGCAAACCTACAGTCAGCCCCAAACACAACCACCACAGGACACAGCACCCTAACCCGCCATAGGTAAAGAAGGGGGACCATACTGCTAACATCTTGCTTCCTTAAAGGTTAATATATGCTCAAGAGATCCCATGCCCTCAATACAGATGAATGCACCCCCAGCCCCAGCCCTAAATATGGCATTGGCCTGATCCTGAGCAAAGGGGCAAGACCCTCTAGCCAGAAACCTCCGGTTTTAAATCACATCAGGAGCATTGGCACAGCCCAGTCAAAATCAAAATCCCCAGCCTCGGCTGCAGCCACCACCTGATGCCCCTGAGGAAGGCTTTACAACCCCCAAACCCTGACACATGTAGCAGCAGGAACAGGGAGGAGGCGGGTGGAGAGGAGAGGGAATTCCTTCCCAGTCCCATGCAGCAACCAGCAAAACCCAGAAATGATGGAAATACCCATTATACCTGAGGAATCCTTTCCCTGCTACACTACTGTTGATTAGATACAAAAATTATACTGAAAAAACCCACATTATTTCCTACATCTTGGAATCATGGGTATAAGTATCATCCTAGGAAAAATGCTAGATACTAAGGAACTGTTTAATCTAGCAGAAGAAGACTTAACAGGAGCCAGTGACTGGAAACGGAAACTAAACACATCTGAATTAGAAATAGTCAGCAGGGAGAGGATTAACCACAGGAACAATCTAGCAAGAGAAGTGCTGGACTTGCCATTGCTTGAGGTTTTCAAAGCAGGACTCGATGCATTTCTGGAAGATGCTGCCACTGAGCCTAGGTGCTGAGTTGTGGACTGTGCCGTAGCAATGAAGTTTGGCGCCCGGGGTAAAGCCCGCAGCGGCAGCCCGCCCTCGCCCCGTGCACAGATCCGGGGAGCACGTGCCCCCACCATGCTTACCTGGGAGCGCACGCAGTGGTGAGCGCCGCCCTCCCGCAGCCATGTCCCACACCCTGCCCCAGCTTGGCAGCGCCTCATGGTGCCCCTTCGCTTTGTCATCTGGGGCAGTCGCCCCGCTCATCCCCCCTTGCTATGGCACTGGTTCTGGAGCTGGTTGTGGAAAACCCATCTCAGTCCACCTCTTCTCACAACCCGCCCACTGGAAACTAAGGCAGCTTCTACCATGTGTAGCGTCCACAAAGGGTGGTCTGGTGGCACTGGGGGGACAGCGGTGACCTAGAAAAGTAGGTGAGATTTCAGGACTACGTGCTTGGTCTGGTCATTCCTCTCTCTGCTCGGGCACTTCCCAGGTGCTCCCAGTAAAACACAGGCGGTGGTGGTATGGTGGCAGCAGAGTCTGGCCTTGAAACACTTGTGGGTGTGATTTTTATTTTGACAGGCAGACAAGGGCTTCCCTGAGAAAGCACAAGAGAGACAGGAAATGGTGATTTTCAACAGCTTACATCCAAGGAAAGCTGAGTGGTGTTTGTGTGGCAAAGACCACATGCTCCTCCGGTTTGAGGACATTCCCGCTGCCAAATATCCAAGGCTGCTGTAAACCGTGGAGCTATGAGACCTCCTCCGGAGCCTGTCACAAGGTTCTTTTGCAGTGCCAAGGGCTTGCCAGAGGTAGCAATTGTATCCGGTGCAACAAAAAGCAAGTGATGGAGGCAAGAGAGAATTCGAATTTTTAGCCGTTCTGCCTTCTGCGTTGAAATGCCAAATGTGTTCAGTTCTGCAAGAGGCAATGGCACTGGAAGAAATATCGTCTTTCTATGTTCCCAGTAAATGTCTTTGTCCCCCATCTAAACCTCCCCGCCACCAGGCCAGATTTGCATTGGGATTTCTATTCAGTCTGCTGTTTTCTCCCTGCTTCCTTTTCAAGCTACCCACTCTTCATCTGCCATTACTGTGCATGATACAAGAGTTGCAAAATATGGGAACAGCCACGTGAAATGAAAAGCCAGCACCTCCATGCAATGTCTATGACAAGAACAACTCACCTGTTCCTTTTGACATTGCTTTGAACTGTGCTGTCCACCCGGAAACATCTTCAGGGGGAGCGGTCAGACCATCCTTCACTGCGAGGAATCCATTCAGGATAGTGATGGGGGTCTTTCCAAATCACAAGGTGAAGGTGTTGCCCTGGGTGGTTGCCAGCTGTAGAATTAGTGCCAGAAAAGCACGGGTGACCAACATCTGCACTGCGGGGCAGGGGAAGGGATTTTAACACAACAGCTCTGTGGCTACAGCACGCACTCAGGATGTGTAATATCTGGGTTTCAGTTCCCTCCTCTGCCCAAAGGATTCAAAACCACTTCTTCCACCTCCAACTCAAGTGCT